TTTGTATAGTAGGTCCGGATCTGTCAGCATGTGTCTTTATTTTACATAAAATTAAAAAAAAATACCTTAAATTACAGTTTGCAAATTATAAATAATCTGTAATCCTCACGCCTATTAATCTCCTCTTCCCAATCTCTGCCTTTTCAATTTTTATCTTGTTGAGTAAGATCAGCCTTATGTGTCATCAAGCTTTCTTTTCCCTCCTCGGCTGGGACTGGCGTGTTGCCTTGATAGGTTTAATTCAGATTACCCAAAATCTTACAATTTTGAGATTGATAGCGAAGTTTAGTGTGGAACAAATGTGTACGTTGAGTACCGCAGTGAATAAATAAATAATTCCTGACTTATGGCCGTTGTAATTTGTTTCTTTTGATAGCATTTTCTTAATTTAACCAAACTAAAAAATGTCAAATGTTTATGGATATGGTATTCCAAAAAATATGATTACTTGCTGTACCCGTAAAAATTTCATAATATTTGATTTTTCTAATATATTATGATATTTACTGAATACCCGTGGAAATACCTTTATTGCATCCAAATATTTGATCATGACAAGATTTAGCAAATGTTTTTAACTGAATTCTCTATGCTAGGTAATAAAGCCATTAAAACATCTAATACATTAATACATCTAGCCAATTCAAGTGGGAATTGATGAGACCTAGCTGACAATCTAGTACTTTACACAGACAGACTGGTCCCATACAGAATTTGACATGTTTGTTGAGGAGCCCAATTACGAAAAAATTTCAAATATCATCAGGAGTATGACAAGGGTGAAAATGGAAGCCCCGATCTATTTAATTTTTCCTGATTTTTTTTCTTCTGACTAGGCTCGGTACATTTAGAAACTCAAATGTAAAAAGATGGACGCCGATCATTTAAGCATTCCATATCACCATTCTAAATATATCTACCAATAGAAGACAATGATCCCACTTTCCCTCTCGAGACCACTAAGGATGGGTGGGGGTGATATGCCGATGATATTCATAGTTGAGATAAGAATGATCTTGAATAAAAAATCATCATCCTATATGAAGAATTCCAAGAAAAAGGACTCAAAATAAACCTTTCGAAAATAGAAACAATGATCTGGAGTTGCAATGAAATGCAAAGATGGCAACTACCCTGAAGCCGTCATGAAAATGAAAACATCCTCTATCAAAGTCTCTCTATATTTCTGAGATGAGGTATTATGTACATTATTTACATTATTCGGACTATTGTCCTCATCTTTTTCGCCATATTTATCACAACGTTTCGGCCGTTGTATGCTTCGGCCTCCTTCAGGTGGTTGGAATGTCGAACTGAAGCCTTTATTTCGCTCACTGGGGTAGACTGTTCTACTTCTACGTGCCAGATGGAAATTAACAGGAGATAACTGATAACTGACATCCATCAAACATGGCACGTGACACTAGAACAGTCTACCTCTTGCGAGCGAAATAAAGGGTTCAGTTCAACATTCCAACCACTTGAAGAAGGCCGGAGCGTACAACGGCCGAAACGTTGTGATAAATATGGCGAAAAAGATGATGACAATAGTCCGAATAATGTAAATAATCCTCTATCAAGTGTTCTAAGAAACAGGATTCAAGATAAATCATTCCAAAACTGAAGCTATGATCTGGAATTGGAATGAAAACAGTGACAACATGTACCCTGAATCCATCGTAAAAATTCAGGATGTGGATTTTGTAAATACTAAACACTTCAAATACGTCGGCGTATCGATCAATTATAACAAATTTATTATAGGGGTTAAGGAAAGTAAACAGAGAATAGGCTACGCTAGTGGTAGTTTCACCCAGTACCACAAGTTGCTACGAAACCAAAATATCAACCAGAAAACTTAAGTCATGTTTTAAAATAGCCTCATCAGATGGAGACGTTCAATATAGATGACATGGCGCGTCACACTCATTCAGAAATATCTAAAGTGTCAACTGCTTTCTAACATCAGTGTTTCAAATGGATTTGTGCTAGTGAAACCTGGATGTCTTGGGAAAAAAGATCCGTTTTTGAACATTGTGAACTGGCGCTACACACTCACAAAGGACGGTACCAAGCAACTGAAAATGCATCACTTAATGACTATCAACAGCTGCAACGACTAAAATGAATAGCACATGTAACTCGAAGAGAAAATAATGACATAATCAAGATGTTGATATTCCACACAACTTCAAATAAAAAGTTAGGAGGGAAACCTCCATCAATGCTGGAATGATCGATAATAGTGACTGGTCATCAGAAATCTATTTTCAAAAAAATTGTTTTAAGAGAAAAATTTTATAAATTTCAATGAATACCAAATGTTTCCTTATAAGGAAACGGCTAATATTATCAATACAAAATTGTTATATACCGTACCTATCAACACTATTGGGTATGTCCCAGTCTTCATAAATACGTTGGACACTATTGTAAGTGACGGTAATATGCTGTCTAAGTAGTCCACCCCTAGTAGTGGTTTACCTACTTCACGCCGCTGGCGAGTATTGTATTTTGTTGATGTTATAAAGATTAGCGTTTCATTTCCAACCTCCGTTTTGGTTATTCCTCATTTAGTAACCCTTTCTAGGTTACAACACAAATGTTATCAGTTGGGGTTTTATTCGAGGACTGAGCAAACCGGATAATTTCAAAGCCGGGATGGTGCTGAAAAATTCTCGGCTTTGCCTACTTCCCAAAATCTGAAAAGTCATCAGAATTCTGAAGCAAGCGGGCCGTTCAAATAGTACCCGACTTTATTTTTCCCGCCAAAACTAAAGGCGCGTGGGAAAAATCCTTTGGGTACGAGATGACACCACCTTTCCTGCGCATGCGTGAAAACTTGAGCGCCGTTAGCCCTCATCAGTTCCCGGCTGTTACATCTAGAGTACAGGCATGTATTGCGCGCATCAGCGAAGTTAAGCAACGTCGACCTGGTCACTACCTTGATGGGTGATCGCTTCAAAATACCAAGTGCTGTAAGCTTGGATGTGCGGGCGGTGTAATAGTTAATGGCTCAGAATTGTTAATCGGATGTGTTCGTTATATTCACTTACACGCAAATGCCTTTGGGAATGGCATGAATCCAACTCTCCCCCTAACTATGGGCTAATTAGTAGGAGTTATATCACCAAATCATTTTAATCTAAAAAAATATTACAATCTAAAAAAATATTACAATCTAAAAATATTTTCTGATTTTAAATAACGGTCAATAAATCAATGAAATACTGATTAGCTACACAGGCATGTCTTTTAGATTTATTTACATTCTCTGTTATATAAATGTATAGAAACTACCGTGGTCACAAAATGAGGGATCTGTTTATATATTTTAATATAGAATTGATCCCCCACTTTATATCCACATTGTAATTTCTTTGTTGATAAACCATAGAAACGAATCAATCAATCAATGAAATATTGATTAGCTACACAGGCATGTCTTTTAGATTTATTTACATTCTATGGAACATAAATGTATAGAAATTTATGTTGTCAAAAAATGAGGGATCAGTTTATATAGTAGTTGTAATATAAAATAGACCCCCCACTTTATGTCCAATTCATAACCTTGTTTGTTTATCAAATTCTAATTAGTTATGAATCCATCTCTTCTCCCCCAAGCTATGGGTTAATTAGTAAGATTTGAATTATTAAATCATTACTATCTCAAAAATATTCTTACAACCTAAAAGTATTTTCTGACTTTAAATATCCCACAAAAGATTGATAAATCGTAAAAAAAAACGAATCATTCAATTATTAAAATTTAAAGTACGTTCCACAATAATTTTACAATTGCACCTTGAAATAATAATTTAAAAGAAAGGTTGAGAAACACTGCGTGACACAGACAGACTGGTCCCATAGAAAATAAAACAAGTACTAAAGTGGGGAAGTATTCCTTAAGGATATTTTATCTCGAAGGACGAAAGATGTTAACAATAGAAACGAATCCACGTGGGTGATAATTCACATGATCTCTTTATTTCCCGCCATGACACACGCGCCTTGGCAAATATCCGGATAATGCAGTCTGCACACATTCTTCTGTCATTAGTCAAATATTTTGCTGACGGCAACTTGGAAAGTTGAAAACAGCAAAACTACTTGCATTTCTGCATTGTAAGTGTTGTTTTATTTTTTTTTTTTTAACAATATTTTACATTTTTGCAAGTTTAGAAACGAATGCACTGTTGAAGTGAGACCAGACACGTGCAGCTGGTGTTAATCTCAGATTACGCCAAAACCGATTTTTTTTCTATTCTTTACCTGCCACGTCCTTAATGTTTCTTGGCGGTAATCCCACGTAGACAAAATTTATTATTACCCCATAAGAATAAAAAAAAAAATGGGGCTGGATAATTGCCTTGTATGTATGCATGTGTATATATGCCTATATATATGTGTGCATGTCTAAAGCTTTCATCACTTAAAATGTTTCAAGTAGATGTATCGCGCGATTTTTTAATATTTGTTGTAGAGTGTTGCTGACCGTAAACGAAAAAAGTAATATAGGTTAATGAAAATTAAAATGAAAATATTACTGAAACACATTTGCACAAAAGAGTCTAAGTCCGATTGAGCCACATCTGCGTGGCCAATGTTTGAGGATTAATGATATATATATATATATATATATATATATATATATATATATATATATATATATATATATATACATACATGTGTGTGTGTGTGTGTGTGTGTGTGTGTCTATAAATATATATATATATGTGTGTGTAATATATTATATATGTTATTATTTATATATTATATGCGCGGTACTTTATTAGAAAACGCTCAATATCAGAGATAGAGCTAACATTGATATGAGTTTGTGACCCTGGGTTTCAGGCTTTTGCGATCGTCAGACAAACTCTGACGATCGCAAAAGCGTGAAACCCAGGGTCACACACTTTTGACTTTTTCTTTTTCAAAATATGAACTGAAATTCATAAAGTCAAATAATCTTATATATATATGAAAATATAATC